GTGTGTGTGGACTCTGTGTGTGTGGACTCTGTGTGTGGACTCTGTGTGTGTGGACTCTGTGTGTGTGGACTCTGTGTGTGTGGACTCTGTGTGTGTGTACTCTGTGTGTGGGCTCTGTGTGTGTGGACTCTGTGACCTCTCTGTGTGTGTGGACTCTGTGTGTGGACTCTGCAGGGCCTGTACAGGACCTGAATCTGTCTGAGGTGCCTGGACAGACGTCTGGTAAGATGGCAGCTCACAAGTTTCCAGAGCACGTACTGTGTGTCCACGGAGGCTCAGGTCCATCTGGACAGCGGGATGGGACTGGATATATCCATGGTTCTCCCTCATGAGGAAGGTGCTTGCCCTTGCCAATCTCCAGGGCTTCAGAGACGGTGGTTGGTGCCCTGTGTGGGAGCCATCCATCCGCAGGGACACGTGCACTCTTGACTGCAGCCCGCTGTGTTGTTTCTAGGCGCTGACAGGATCCACAGATGATGGGAGGTTCTCCAGACAGCAACCTTCAGAGCGGGTGGCCCCCACACTCCTGTGACTGGCAGTGGGCCCTCTCTGGTAGAAGGGGCTGTCAGAGGAAGTCGCTCTGGTTGCCTCCCTGGTGTGGAAGGGCGCAGCCTCGCAGGCCGCCTCACCGCCTGGCTTCTGCTTTCAGTGTTTGCTGGCCGGTGGCTAATGTCATTCTGGACGGGAACTGCCAAGATTCACGAGCTCTACACTGCTGCTTGCGGCCTGTACGTCTGCTGGCTGACCATCAGGGCTGTGACGGTGCTGGTGGCATGGACACCTCAGGGACGCAGAGTGATCTTCCAGAAGGTCAAGGAGTGGTCCCTCATGGTAAGCTGTGCTGCCTTGGGGTGAGCCCCAGCTCCTCATGGGAAGCACCAGTGTCTCATAGCATTGGCCCTTCTCCCTCGTGGTTGGCCTCGGTACTTCATGGCTGACCCTGATCTCCTTCCTGGGCAGCCCTGCTCCCTCGGGACGTTGGTCCCAGCCCTTCATGGGTGGCTCTGCTCCCTTGTGATTGGCCTTGGTACCACATGGCTGACCCTGATCTCTCCTTGATGGGTGGCCCTGGTCTCTCGTGGTTGGCCTCAGTACTTCGTGGCTAACCCTAATCTCCCATGGGCAGCCCTGCTCCCTCGTATGTTGGTCCCAGTCCTTCATGGGAGGCCCTGGTCCCTCGTGGTTCAGCTGCACTGGCCCCCATGGTCCACAGTAGATCGCACACTGAGCACCAGATGAGGATGCCAACTGCTGGCTGTCATTTATCATCTTGGTCTGCTCCCTTGGACCTCCATGAAGAAAGAGACGTCGCCTTCAAAGTGGCTCCAGTGAGGTGACCAGTACTAACATCAAGCCCCTGTGTCTGACAGATCATGAAGACTCTGGTGGTCGCGGTGCTGCTTGCGGGCGTTGTCCCCCTGCTGCTGGGGCTGCTGTTTGAGCTGGTCATTGTCGCTCCCCTGAGGGTCCCCTTGGACCAAACCCCACTTTTTTACCCATGGCAGGTAAATGTGTGTGCTTGGGCTTCGGTCTGGAATACTCTTGATTGCTGTAAAGTCTAGATAGTTGTGGCTTTCTCCTGTGTCTGACTTTGAGGTTAGATGACGGGTCAGCCCAGAACTCCTTCCGTGAGGTACAGGTCCACGGTACCTCTCCACTCAGCCCTTTCACCACATCGGCACTGGTTGTCTGGAAACAACCCTTCCCAGCAGCTCTCTGTACCTCTCCTCTGCGTCTGAGAATTCATTGCAGTTACAGCAGCTCACACACCACACTTAGAGTTAAGTGAATTTTTTAAATAAACAGGATACGTTCAGAGAATCAGGACTTGCATACCAAAGTCTCCTTTCAGTGTTCTCTAGTCCTCAGGACAGGGAGATCTCAGAACAGGCTCCCCTCAGCCCCCAGCACAGGCTCCTTTCTGTCCCTTAAGAAGAGCCCTTCTCAGCCTTGCTGTCTGTCACCATCTTTGACCATAGACTCTGCTACTGGACCTTTCTAGACCCCTGACCTCCTGTAATGTTTTTGATAGTGAATGCTTATAATGTGGTTCATCATGATTTTAACTTTTCATTATTTTTGTTCTTTAATAAACAAAAGAACAGTATATGGTCCAAATGTAACCTTTTTTTTTTTAGAGGTGAACAGTCTTTATTAGCGTATTAGCTTCCCATTGCTGCTCTATGAAATGTAATTTTTAAAAGCCCTCTGGATTCTCCAGTGAAAGCTGTTAGGCATCTTGCCGTTGTGAAATGAGTTGGTGTATGAAGCCGTGCAGCGTCTGTGAGCTTTGTTGCTGCATCGCCCGGCTGTAATGGGTGTTTTCTGTGTGCAGGACTGGGCGCTGGGAGTCCTGCACGCCAAGATCATCGCCGCCATCACCCTGATGGGTCCCCAGTGGTGGCTGAAGACGGTGATCGAGCAGGTAGGCTTGGGGCTCGGCACTCGGCTTGTAGCTGCAACTCTGTTCCTTTTTCTCCTTGTGCCGTCTGCATTGTCAGCTTTCACTCTGAGTCTCCAGTGAAGGTTAAACAGGAGATGACGTTGGGATAGCCTTGACCAAAGCAGGGGCAGGGTTACTGTGCACTCACTCTGCACTGCACGGTGGTCCGGGGAGAATGCATGGCGCTGAGCTCGTGCCCGGCTCCTGCACCGGTGCATGCTCTCTGCAGACTCCTCCCAGTGGGGCCTGAACTTGAGAGTCGGGCCTGTGGGTGGATCAAGTGCGGGGCCTGCAAACCAGAGCCTCTCTGTGTCCTGGTCCCGACGGCCTTTGCACTCACTGCCTCAGGTGTATGCCAACGGCATCCGCAACATTGACCTCCAGTACATCATCCGGAAGCTGGCTGCCCCCGTCATCTGCGTGCTCCTGCTTTCCCTGTGCGTGCCCTATGTCATCACGGCGGGCGTCGTCCCCCTGCTAGGTGAGTGTGGCCGCGCCTGGCCGACCCCCGTCCTTAGCCAGCGTCCCTCCTGGCGCCCCGGGCTTCTGCAGCATGATAAACACACAGCACAGTCCGTGAGCTCAGCCAGCGAGACTTCTAGAAGGACATTTGGGTGTTTTCCTGTATTTTACTGACTTGTTGACAGTGTTACTCGTTGTTGTTGGCAGGTGTTCTTGTGTTGAGTATAGCTTATGACACCCCTGTCTATGAACAGCGCGTCTAAACCCTGTCCCGTCCTGTGCCGTCACCATCACCATGTCCACCGTACTTGAGCTGCTGTTACGGTCCCTGTGCCAGCCCATCTCACTGAGGGTCTTCCTCTCCTTCACCATCCCACCTCTCCAGGCAGGATGTCCTTCTCAAGGAGTACCTTCTCCTAGCAACATGCACAAAGTAGGAGCGGCCAAGCTTTGTCATCTTTGCCTCCAAGGAGCACTCTGGCTGTGCTTTTCCCAGGACGTGTTTCTTTGTTCTTTTGGCGTCCTGTGGGATATTCAGCACTTTTCTCCAGCACCACAGCTCAAAGGCATCGTGCGCCTTCTGTCACTCTTACTCATTGTCCAGCATGCAGATGCATAACAAGTAAATGCAAAGGCCATTGTTGGGATCAAGTGCTTCTAGGTTTTAAATTGTCATCTTTTGTTTTCTGGACTTTGGAGAGTACTTGACAGCAGATTTTTCTCATGTAGCATATCTTTTGATTTCTTCAATACTAGTACCAAGGCTGTTGATGGTGGATCCAACAAATATGAAGTAATTGAGGAAGGGACTGTCAGGGATGCATCTCTCTCAGTACCTTTCCAATCTGTGTGCAGAACAGATCATTCGGGGCTGGACTTTATTCCCTAGGAATGTGGCCTCAGGATTGCAGGAGGACTCATAAACAACCCATGTTACGTAGATGACACAACCTTGCTTGCTCAAACTGAGGAGGACCTGAAACATTTGCTACGAGGGGTTAAGGACTGTAGTCTGCAATATGGATCAACATCAGGAAAATGAAGGTTCTCACTACTGGGTCAATTGGCAGCACTATGATGGACAGAGAAGAGATTAAGGTTGTTAACAATTACAGCTTGCTTTGCTCCACAATCAACAGCCTTGGTACCAGCAGCCAAGAAATCAAAAGATGAATTTCATTGAGAAAGTCTGCTGTCAGGGACCTCTCCAGAGTGCTGAATAACAGTGATGTCAGTCTGGAGACCAAAGTGCATCTGATCCAGGCCATGGTCTTTGCAGTTGCTTGCCATGCATCAGAGAGCTGAACAGTGACCAAAGGTGACAGAAGAATTACTGATGCATTTGAGTTGTGGTGCTGAAAAAGAGCCTTGCTCTACCAAGAGAATGAACAGATATGTCTTGGAGAGAGTGAAACCAAGCTGCTCCTTGGAGGCAAGGATTTTGGCGCATCATCTCACATAATTTGGGCATGGCAGTCCCTTCTGGACTACCAGGAGGGACCAGTCCTTGGAGAAGAACATCATGCTTGGAAGGTGGCGGGACAGCACAGGAGAGGAAGACCCTGAATGAGGTGAATTGACAAAGTAACTGGGGTAATGAGGGTAAGTGTCTCAGAGGCAGTGAGATTGGCTCAGCATAGAGCAGGGTTCAGAGCTGTTGTGTACAGGATCACTGTTACTGACGCGACAGCACAAAACAACAGAACAACAGCTTGATGTTACATAATGGCCCCGTGGTGAGGATTTTCATTGTTTAGAGGTTGAAGGGTATAGTCTTTGATCTGATACAGCAAGAATTTTAAGTTCTCCTCACTTTCAGCCAGCAAGGTTGTGTCATCTGTATAATGAAGGTTGTTGATGAGTCTTCCTCTAATGCTGATGCCACATTCATCTTCATAGAGTCCAGCTTCTCAAATGATGTACTCAGCGTACAAGTTGGATACATACGGAGAAAAGACACAACCTGGTTAGAAACCAGTGTTCCCTTGTTCTGTTCTGACAGCAGCCTTTTGGTCTTGTTCTAGGTTTACATGAGCACAATTGTGTTCTTGTTATGTGCTGTTGAGTCGCCTGCAACTCATAGTGACCCTATGTACAGCAGCCCTAAACTCTGCTCTATCCCGTGCCCCATAACCCCAGTCACGGAATCAATCCATTTCATTGAAAGTCCTCCTCTCCTGCACTGTCCCTCCACCCTCCCAAGAATGATGTCCCTCTCCAAGGACTGATCCTTCCTTGTAACATGTGCAGCGTATGTCATATGAAGCTTCAGTATCCTTGCCTCCAAGGAGCAGCCCAGCTTCACCCTCTCCAGGATGAACCTGTTCATTCTCCTAGCAGTCCATGGTATTCAATACTCTTCTCCAGCACCACAGCTCAAAGGCATCAATTCTCCTTCCGTCCTCCCTAGTCATTGTCCAACTCTCTGATGCATAACAAGTGATTGCAAAGACCATGGCCTGTATCAGGCGGACCTTAGTCTCCAGTCTGACATCATTGCTCTTA